TGCATTTTGACGCAGGGTCCTAAAATGTTTTGGCATGCCGCAGGCCACACAAGAAATCCATCTCAATCGCCCAGGTGGCACGAGAGGGTGACTGCGTTGTTTGAACAAGTGAATCAACGAAGCATTCCATGGCGACCACACCATGTGCACCAGGTGCTTTTGGAGGTCCTGGACGATGACTTCAGCAGCTGGTCTTGTAGCACTGCCCTCGAAGCGCTGAGAAGTTGTTGCGATGCTGAGCTACTGGAGACACGTGCACTGCGCCATCTGCTGAAGCTACTAAAGACCAAGAGCAATAGCCTCGTGAAATGCGCGGCACTGAAGGCCCGGTGCTATTGCCTGCTGTCGGCGTGGGACCGTGCAGTGAAGGCCCCCGTGCGTGCCGTACTGGGGCCCCAACTGTTGGGTGCTGACACACCCACGTGACAGGCCCCTGACAGGCAGATGACAAGCGTGTTGTGTTTGGCGCGGCACCCCCTTGGATGATGTTTGCTGTGTTTGCATACAATGTAGGTGTGGCAAGTCGCCAAAAATCGATAGAGACCTATGTTCCATCAATTGTTGGGGATGTGGATGCATTTTACACCGATGGTCCAGAGCCGCCAGGGTAGCGCTGCATCCGCAGCAGCATCCTTAGCAACCTTTCTCAGCATAGTGAGAGTATCCTCCATCACTGGAGGCCATTCACTGAAGGCACTGAAGGTAGAGGATGGTAGAGGTGCATTTTGATGTACGCCCCGGAAGATCAACGTGGAACCTGAAGGGATTGGCCAGACTGGAAGACAATTTTCCTGTACACACCGGGCGTGGGTTCTATGTGTCTCTTCTATAGGGCCTGTGTTGTGTGTCGGAAGTCCAATCCAAGGGATTGTGGTACCCAGATGCATCATCCTGGCACTGTCAGAACCAGGCTTGCGGAGGAAAATCGCCTTCCGAGGGTACTGCATTAGAGGCCAGGAGCCCCTGGTAGCGTCCTTGCCTGTAGGGGTGGGGGCGCGTGAATGAAGAGATGCCCAGGCTCTTCATGCCGTGCACAATGGTGAAGTGACTGACCTCGCAGCGCGCCTGGCGCGCCAAGACCCCATCGACAGCGTGCGGCTGGCGGCGCTGCAGCTACTGAGGGGGCAAGAGGCAGCAGAGGCAGTCGACCTGGGAGCGATGTTCAAGTACTTGGTGCCGACCTTTGACACTTTAAACTTTAGATAACTTTGGAGTTTGGCCGAGTAGGATCCTCGGATTTGGCCCTGTCTATGGCCTATACTAGTATGGGCCTGTGGCCTGTGATCAACACCAAAGTCCGGTTCTATAGGAAATGCCTGGAAATGCATTGAGACTGGAAACCCGGACCAAAGACCGCCTTCCGATGTCTTCAAAGCTCCCAGGTCTCTCTCCAGTTTATGGCCCGGCCCGACGAGGTGTCCAACCTGGCCGTGGAAGTGCTCTGCACCGACAGCTCCGAGACCGTGCTGCTGGGCGCGCTGGAGGTCTTGACCCCGCTGAGCGCGGCCGGGAGTGCGGGGAAGGCTGCGGTGGAAGCTGCGAAGAAGCTGTTGATTCATCCCAGCAGACAGGTGCCCTGGAGATGTGTGGGAAGGCTTTTGAAAGGCAAACTGAAAGAAGCATCAACAACCAGCACTGAACCAGCACCACCCAGATGGGTGCACCCAGCGGACCCTGCTGCTGAGGTGGCCGGTGTCGGTGCCGGGGGTGGGTGAAACACACACCACCCGCTCTGGCCGGGCGCAGGGGTGCCTACTAGTGATGCCTAGTGCAAATTTATATATGACCTCTTGGGATTGATTGCAATCATCCGGTCAAAAACCTGGAGGTATCAGCTTTTGGGATCCAAAGTCCGCTGCAAGCAGAATCGCATCATCGGACGAAACAAGACGCAAACCACACCGAGTTGCGTCCGATGTTTTGAGTCACACCGAGGTCCGCTTAGAGAGTGCCCGTTTGCTGGGCACAGCATCCCACGATGCCGCCTCAGGCGTCACAGTGGTCACAATGGCGCTAGAGGCCTTGCAGGCACCAGCCAAGGTGGGCCATGAGCAAAACATGATGCAAATTAGCCAAACAAGAATGGCATGGGGCATTGATAAGCTGGGTTGGGTTGACCGATGCTGTTCCTTTGTCAGGTGTAGGTCTAATGGTCCAATCTGGTCCATATCATTAATTAGTTTAGCAGTTCTTATGGAAGTCTTTAGTACAACCCTTCCGCCATCTTACTTCACACCCTGACTAGTTACTAGCAATCGTGGAAGTCGAGAAGCGTTTGTTTGCAGATGAGGCCATGCGACCATACATGTTCCGTCGTGTTCCACGTCCATTTTTGTTGGATAGAGCCTAGCACCTCCACAGACAAGCCCTGGTTTTGCTAATCATGCGTTCTTTTGTCTAGAAAGGGCAAGGGCTGGAATCTGTAGATATATAATGCCTTGAACAACTCGGCCAGGTTCTGCGTTGTTTGTTTGGGCTCTACTGCTGTGTCTTTCTCCGTTGCTGGATCGGACTCAAACTTTCTCAAGTGACTCACTCTGGCAGGCTGGCAAGCACTAAAACCATACTTGTGGTGCTCATTTTCGCATTGCTACCATTAAGTAACTTCACTTCTACAGCATGTTGACACTTGCCGTGTCAACAGGTATACGTTTCCCCCCGATGTGAAGAGGTGAGGACCATCGTTGTTTTGAGGGTGCCATGGAGGAGGCTTTGTGGCAAGCTCGAGATTAGCCCAACCAGTTCAAGGGGTTCTGTTCTGGGTAAAACGTTTTTGGTGGCAAACAGTCTTTTCCAGCAAAACAATGTTTCCGGGTCAACCAGTCTTTTTCAGGTGGGTGTGTGGCCGGAAGTGGATGCAGAAATCTTGTCGCAGAAGGATGCTTGGCAATAGGGGAGGTCCACTCCACGGGGCGGCGATGGCTGCACTTGGGCCCCAGTGAACATTGCACACGGTGAATAAAACTCCTACAGTGTCCTACAGTACCAGAATGGATTTTCATCTCCCTATGAGGGGTTTAATTGATCAACATCCTCGCACCACGAAGCAGATCCAATCCAGTTACCTAGTTGTTTAGGTTTGTGTCGAGTCGGCTTTCCTTGCCCAAGTTGAGGATCATGGTCCCACTTCCGGTCACATACCATCACTGAGTTTTTAACAAGGATTTTTGGGTGGAAGGAACTATATAAATAGAACCTCACGAAGGGAGTAAACTGAGTAAACCAATAACCAGGACAATCCTATGAACAGGTCTAGTCTAGGCTACTTGTAGGTGCCAAATCCCTTCTACGCTAGTAGTTCTTGTGAGAGAAAGAAACGACCCATCAGTCGGGTCCGGTCGCTGGTCGATCGATGTCGTATGAGTCGTATGACCGATCTGTGGGAGGTTCGAGAGCCGCGGGGCTCTCGAGCCGGTCAACACATGCAACCATGACTGTCCCACAGTTGTGTCTTCGGAATGCCCATCCTGTCCGACTGCACGTGTTCTGAGTAAGAGTTGACAGTGATCCCACTGTCAATCATTCGAAAGCAGTCCTGCACAAAGGGTGTAGAGTTCGCAACCCTGTCAAAACAATTGGTTGAACAAACGGATTGCTTTGTGTGCTGTAATTGCAGGTAGGTTCAGGGCGATATCCATGCCTGCCACCACCCCAGAAGAGCCAGTCCAGGAAGAATCTGCGGCGGCCTTGCGTGCTCTTTGAACCCTATGGCGCACCCTTCCGCTCCAGCGGATCACATTTTCCCTAGATTTATTCGGCTTGTGGCGCTCGTGGGCCGAATGCTGGCAGCATGCTGGCCAGTTGTTCACAGGATGTGGATTATACATGATTGTGCTGCTCATCACGGAATGTCCAGCGAGTAGAGGTGGTTAAGCGACCTTTGTGCGTAACAAAGCCCAGGGGTGACAGCATGGTTGAGTTTGGACAACAACATGGTTTAAGGTTTCAAAGTGTTGTTTAAGGTTTAAGGCTTAAGGTTTTAAACTGTTTTCAAGTGTTGTTTTATATCATTTCTTCCATTTATTGGGCAAAACTATATTTTGCCGACTAGGCAGCCAGACTAGCTTTATTGTTTCTCCTTGTCACCAGGATGTTTCTTCAGGATGCTGTGAATTGGTCGTCTCCGATGTTTTCAGATCCTGTGGGCCTCCCAAAGCTGCAGGCCTTCCTCAAAGGATTGCGAATTGGGCAGGGGTCTTTGGCTACGTTCAATGACCATTTTAGTTTAAGAAGGCCTCCCGGGAAGTTCAGTTTCGTGATTTGCCTTGCATAAGAGTGAAAGAGTATGCACGGGCGTCAAGGCGGGTTTCACAAGATTCCTGGAAGGCTTGTTTGAGCCTTTAGCTAGGAACCTTGCCTGAATATTCAGAACTTTGTAGCTCAACAATCAGGAGGGGCAATTGTTGGCGGTGTTAGTGTCGCCCAGTTCAGTTTGCAACGGATGTTGTTCCTGCCCAACAGAATCTTTGATCCCGTCGCCGCCTGTCGCCGCCCAGCCGTTCCAAGAACTCACTCTGGGCGGCTGTGGAGAAGCCAAACAGCTAGCAGAGAAAAGAAGGAGAAAAACAGGTGACTGAGTGACCTGTGACTGGAGTGTGCTACTTCGCAGGTGGCCCTATTGGCCTTTCGGATGCAGCTGAGCGGTGGACATGTCGACCCATCAGTGGCACTTGATTACTTGATCAACATGATGCAGGGAGTACGGACTTGAACATCATTAAAGGCACTTTTGGAGAGTTGTTGGACATGAACTTATGGGGTTCCCGAGATTGCTTTAGACAGCAGGCTGAGGCTAGAAGGTGGTTTAGGAGGAACCTTCGCTATGGGTGGATACAGACCAGAGACTGGAGTTTTTGCGCGACTAAAACTTCGCCACATCAGAGCTATGGATGGAGTGGCATATGCATGAATCCCAATAGTTTTTGTGTACAACCAACTATGGGACTTTGGGGGATCCACCCATCACCCACCCACCCAGAAAAACTCCACGTTTCGGCCAGGCAGCGGCGACCTCTCCCACTTCGGCCTCGCGCTGGCCGGGCGCAGCGTGGCCTTCCGAGAGATGGGCCGTGCACGAGCCGGGTGCGACCGGGAACGTCGTCGTTGGTCCCGTTGGTGGGCGGTGTGGAGAAACTCTCAGAGGTGCTGCCTGTTTAAATAGATATTATCGTGATGAACATTTAGAACCTAGACTCTACTGCACTTGGTAGAGGAAACTATATAAGTTATATATAAGGTTTTTTTAAGTCTAACATGTTCTAACCCAGAGTCGAAGACATAATTTTCCTCGGTGTAACATGGATGCGCCATTCGCGTAAAACCACTGGTCAAGATTGCAAAATAAGGAGGGTCAAACGTCTTCATCCTGCAGAATCCTGCTCTTTGCTTGGAAATGGGCAGGCTTCCCCGTCAAGCCGAATTACATGCACGTTGGATTGCTGTTTTCTGTTTGGGATTGCTGGTTTTCTTCTGGCAGACCTTGGAATCCCCCATGGCTGTAGGGTTTCCAGCTTGCAAACTCCCCGAAACTGCTGAAAACAACCACCTTTTAGAGTTTAGACTTTAGATGGTGATAGGCAGAGATCCATCAGTGTCGACCCCCCAACCGGGAGCTCCACACCACCAGGCTCCCTGCAGAGCCGAAGGTCTTGGCCGCCTCCCTGGCAGACGCACGCGCTGCGGCCGGTTCCAGCGCGAGCGGAGCGGGGAGGACGAGCGGGGAGGACGAGGGTCCATCGACTTGGTTTGGAAGAAAGGATGACACTCCTGTGTCCAATGTGGTTCAGTTCAACTTTTACATACTTTTACCTTTGACCAAGGGTGCTGGAAGGACGGCCTGAAAGCCAGTCTGAAAGCCGATAAAACACCTGGTCGCTACTCGAACTGGGAGAGTTGAACCCTCCACAGTTTCTTGGCTGAACATCCATCAAGGGCACACCTACGACAGTCTGGGAGTGCAGGACAGACAGTTACAGTACCAGGATGGGGTTGATGGACGCCCCTTAAGGTGGACTGAGGGCCTGGAATTGCGATCGGCAAAATCGCTCCAGGCATGCACCCTGCAGTTTGCCAAGACAGTTCTTTGCATTGGTTCTCTTGAGTCGCAATACTTAAGTTCTAGATGCAACGTTGGCCTAATGTATAATCCCAGACACTCCATGTACGCCATGCCTACATTGACCCCTTTGGCACCACCCCAACTGATCGGCCAGTCCTATGGCAGTCCCAGACAGATCGTGTATGGGAATTAACGATTGGAATCGCGGCGAGCATTCCCCGGACGAAAATGAAAAGCATCAATGCCAAATAAGACTAAGAAACGGCTAGTAGTAACAGGTGCCTCGCTAGTAGTAACAAGTGCCTTACTAGTGGTAACAATGTTTGCTATTAGAAACAAGTGCCACGGTCGTTGGCCAATACGGAGGTGGTTGTTCCTCCGCCCACGTCCACCTCCGGACGGCCGGTGGAGCTCCATCTCCTCCATGGAGGTCTCTTTGGCCCAGCAGCTCACGTCCAACAGCACGCTCGCGCTCAAAGCAGCAGCGACCTCAAGACCCGAGGACAGGCCCCCCCCTGGTGACCAGAATCAGATAGAGATGGAAGAGAAGGACGATGTATTGGTAAATGGTTGGGTTAAGTGAGTTCCTTCCAGAGCTGTGGAGCCTGGGTTTGGACCCTTGAAGTGTGTGAACTAGTTCGCTTTAGCCAATTATAGGCAGGGAAGCGTCGTCGCCGAGACATATATAGTTTCATTGATCAAAGAGGACTTCTTCAAGCTCTTTCGCGTGTTGGACGCCCCTCCGCGGAACATGAACACTGGCCGCAGAAGATGTTTCGTCCTTGTTTTTACCCTGCCAACCTATATATCTTCCACCTCGAGAAACACAGTCTTAGCACTGTCAACCGAATCAATGCACAGCTTCGTCTTGTCGAATTGATAACAAGATGGAACCCACGAACCCGAATGCAAACACGTTCGAAAAACTACATATGTCCAAATGACACTCTTGTGTGACACTCTTGTAGGACACTCTTGTGGGACACTCTTGTGGGACACTCTCGCCTGCATTTCGCGCACTCGACACGCACGATCTCCGCAGAGGGTTGCGCGCGCATGGGACAAATCGCACTCTCGCCTGCATTTCGCACACTCGACACGCACGATCTCCGCAGAGGGTTGCGCGTCAAGTCTCCAAAACGAGCGTTTTGTACGAGACTTTCTCAAAAACACTTACACGTCAAAGTCTGCAAGACGAGCGTTTCGTACGAGACTTCCTCCAAAAGTCAAGCGGAAACACCCATCGGAGCACACACATCACGCAGCCCTGCCAAGCAGTTTCGCGATTCCAGCCCCTCCAAAACAACATCCACTCACACGCCAATCCCAATGTGACAGCAACATTCACCTCTACCAACCTCACGATTCCCTGCGCCTGCCACGAATCTTTCCGCGTCCACACGTCTAACGCGCACAAAATACTGCGCCTGCCACGAAATGTCACCTCCGTCACACCTCGCAACCTCACGATTCCCTGCGCCTGCCACGAGAATCGCACTTCCACGCCTCAAAACCCGCACAAAGTCCTGTGCCTGCCACGAAAAGTGACAATATCATCTCATGTGAGCTTCAACAAAATTTGCACCACACCACACGTTTGGAATGATTTCGACCCGTTCTGAGCACACTCCCATCCCCCAAAACCGCCATTTCAGCTGAGACTTGTCACGAAAACCGAGCTTCGATGCCACACCCTGAAACGCAAATCCCAATGGCACGGCCACATCCAACACCCCAAAAACACGACGCTAATCCCAATGGAACTGCGCAGCAATCTGCGGATCTCACAAAACGCTGCGCCTGTGCAGCGAAATGCATCACGTTTCTTGCGCGACATGTCATTGTCATGCAAATCACCATGGAATAGCGGCGCAAACTGACACGTGACACATCCATGCAAAGTCACTTGCAAAAGCTTCCCCCAATGGCAGCGAATTTGAGACGCAACGACGACGACAAACGACGACAGACGACGAGAGACGACGAGACGACGCAAGCCATGCAAACACAGCTCCAACCCCCAGACCCCCAACTATAAACGGGAACCCTTCGCTACGCATTCGGGAAAAAATCTCTGGGACTGCCGGACTGCCGTAATTACTCGAGAAGCGAGTACTTCTGTATATAGATCCCACGCACGATTCATTGGGACTCTGAAATCGTCAAGATCAAACCATCAATGTTCCACATGGAAATCTTTGAGCATGATGTTCCTTCAAACCATTTGGATCGCTCACCGTTTCCCCAAAGATCCCAAATCATTTGGACTCTTGCGAGGCTCGTGCATTGAACGCGGCCCTGGCTGAAAGTGGTGAAGGGCCAATGGAGGCCCAGCAGGCCTGTGATGCCTTGGCAGGTGCCTTGAGAAGTTGGGTCCGGAAACGTCTCGGATGAAGACCGACGGTAGCGGTCGGTGGCAGGTCACGGTAGCTGTGTTACATGGGACGGATCATGGGACGGAGCGGGTCAAGTTGTGGTCGCTTGTAACCCTGGAATGCAACCAACTTCTAGTTGGAAGTCTCTCTAATCAAGGACGCATTATTTCACTACATCTTATCATTGCTACTTTGTTGTATTTGCTGGTTCTAAGCTCTTTGAAAGCTTGTGTTGGTCAGGTACAAACCGTAAAGAGGCATTCAAATCACCCTAGCTTCCTTGATACCATGCTGCCCCAACCAACCTGTCATCTATATGTTCCTTGTTCCTTGTACCAGGTACTTTCATTTGGGGCCTCCCGATTTGAATGAACACCCAAATATATAATCCCAAATATATTTCGTATACCCTCCCTCAAACAAGGAAGTGGACATCCTCCTGTTTGTAGATCCGAAGTGGTGGTCCTGTATAACATGGATATGTCCATCCTCCTGCTTCACCATGCCAAACCACCCCTTCTTGGACAGGCCTTGGCTTCGATGAGCCGGTGAAGCATGAGCTTCGGTGGCTTGAGTGATGTTTGTGTTTTTCAGTGGCGTGGTTGGGAAGTGGCGATGGTTTTTCTTGAAGCTTCGAAGTGCGGAAACACATGTTTGGACTTTGGACAAAGTTTGAGCCATCCAGTGGTTTCGTAGGAGGGCAATTGGTTGTGTCATGTTGTCCTTCTACAGGTTGCACCATCCCAGCTCCTTTGTCCAAAGAACTTGCCACTGGATGTTTGTTCAACCAAACAGTTTTCAATCGTGCCGCAGCGAGAGGCAAACCAGTCGAGCAAATTTAGACAACACTTTTGAGGGACTCTGGAAGAATTCTGCCTCCTTGCTGCGCACAGATGTGCAGGTGTACGTTGTGACTCATCGTGTATAAGACTTTAAGACGCAATAGAAGATAAAAGTCAATCAGATAGGTGCCGAAACAGCTCCCCGAAACAGGGACCAGGCGCCGTCTTCAAAAATGGAGGCCAAGGACTGCAGCAAACTCCAGGCTTCATGCACCCAAGAATGTGTTGAACCAACACATGGGTCCTACCAAACATGCCACACATGTCATGTTTGCCACATTTTTTTCCCGTTTTTCCTCTATGAAACTTGTGCCAAGGCAGGTGGCCAAAGACGGCATCGACACAGCAGGGCAACTGGGCTGAAAGTGTTCGACCCATTTGACGGCCTCCAAAGCCTTTGGTTGTGGATCATTTAGTATACTCCCCCCACAAACATGAGACAACCTGCTGTTTCTGAAGGAAAGTAGTAATTATTTCAGGAGGCCATTGTCCACTTCCATAATTCTTGGAGAATGAGGCCATTGTTGGAATAAGGAGGCCATTGTTAGAGGGAGGGTAGGTCTTCCCAAGATCTTCTCCATTCCTTCTCACTCGAGGCTCGCCCGCACCAAGACCCACCACCGCGCCCGTGCGACCCCCGCCACACGGCCGTGTCGCGTGCTCTACCCGACCACCCCGACACCCTACGACACCCCGGAGGAACGTTCGTCTCACACATCACCCTTCACCACGGTGGCCAAAACACCACACACCCAAAGAACCACCGGAGAGATCCACAATGCCCCGGAACACATCCCGGTACTATATCTATAGATCTTCCAACTATGCAACATTTGTGCCTTTTGGCTGGTTTACACTAAAAGGCATAAATTTTGCATAGTTGGAAGATCTAGGCATGATCCAGGTATAGTATCTATAATTGATGATCAATGTGTTCACATGCTTCATGTGTTTTTCTTCCAACTTCTTCGATGTGTGAGGTATTTCGCTCCAGAGGGCCCATGAGGGCCCCCACCGGCTCCAAGGCTTTGCGCTGAGATGGATGCTTCTGCCAAGGATGGAGAGTCACCAGGCCAAGGACCTGGTTCTGGAAGATGGACGGGTCCCGCAGTGCGCGCGCACCGTGACACCAGCCTTGCTCGACCGGTGGCGAGGCACTTTCCGGTGGCCTCGGCGCATGGTGTTGCGCGGCGGCTCTACTGGGCGGAGATCCAACGGCTGGGACCAGTGTGCGCGTTTGCGCATAAAGGTCATGGACTGGTACAATTGAGACCATACTGCAATGAAGTCACGTACTGACCGTGTCTACTAATCATTTAGAATTGAGACGCATTGAACCGTCATGATGCTGTAGAAGCACCACCGGAAAGAGGCCCTTTTAGGTAGGGAGTGCAGATGAAAGCGGCCTGCAGATGTTTCCCTCCAAAAGCTCGTGTTTAAAGTAACAGGCTATAGTGAGTGACTTCACGGGATACAGTTTGCGCCTTGAATCTTGTAACCAAAGGAACTTCCAAATCCAGTGGGGGGCATGACTCTTGAGGAGGCTGCATTTTCCCAGACATAGGTTCTCCAACCATCGATGCAGGATACCATCCGAACTGGCAACCTGAGGTTTTCAACAACTTGGCAAGGCCTCACTATCTTCAATCCCCCAAGAGCAGACCACCCACTCAAGCCCGAGGCCAACCTTGCCTTCCGGCCCTTCCCTGGCAGCAGCTGTCACTGAGAAAGGTGCAGATCACGCGAGCGGAAGTCGGCCTCGGCTCCTAATGCAGCTTGTCTTAGTGCAACGTCCCACGGGTACTCTGCCTCCGAGAGGTGCCTCCTTGCGAAGTACCGAACCTTGGAGACGGTGACATGCTTTTTGCTTCGGATTGTTCAGGCTACCCACCCTGGAGACGCCTGCAGTATCTCCCTTTCAGCGTTTCGCTTGGGTCGTAGAAGTTCAGGTCGTAGATGTTCCCAGCAGTTGGATCGTCACTTGGTTTTCCTCGCGTTGGTGGCCTCGTGCTGAAGACTTTTTGAGAGCGAAGAGTCGCAGTTTTCGAGGTGCTGCCAGTCGTGCTGATTTGTTTGTCCTGTAGTCTCCTGGGTATGTATATATGTCCGGTATATATATATATAGATATATCCATTTATATATAATATATATATATATATCATATCTACCTTGATCCCTGAAACCGCCCCAACGAAGGTAAACATGCTATACATGGAGTGTTTGGGATGTACTGTTATCATAAGTCAGCCTTTGGACTTGCTACGGTAGCCTTAAGCCACATCAACACCTCATTCTGCAAACACTGACACACAATGCGTTTGAACCATGTGGTGATGGTTGGTGATGCCGCTGCTGCTCAATGACAAGCAACCTCTAAACTATTCCAAACTGTTCAAGCAAGAAGGAGTGGAAGGACTATATATAGGCATTTTTGGGGGTGAAAGCCCATCAATGTCTCCACACCATCCCAAAAACGCCCCACAAAGCATTCGTGGCTTCAAAAGCAACGGCACGCCAGGCTGGGGGCCATACTTGCTTGGGGGCCTGGAGAGCCGCAGCCTCCGAGAGCTGAGAGGGGAGGAGGATGTGGAGGGAAGACATGTAGAAGCTATACACGTTGTGAGAGGATTTAAGAAGGGTTGGAGAATGTTGGAGGTGGAGGTTTGGGAGGTTAATCTATGTTTCAGGGTTGATTTGGATGGGTCAGTTGCAGATAGTTGCATTATTTGCAATACCTTTTGAGAAGAGTTTGGACCCATCGTATGTCCAGAGCCTTTTCCACCTCATGTTTGAGGCGGCAGCGTGGAGGTGAACAGATGGTGAACTTGGAGCGGAGCAAGTTGGTCCGGCACTCGAGCTGTGGATTTGCGAAGGCTCAGTTGTTAACCTGAAAGGGACAAGGATTCTCATGTTATGCCAGGATGCCATTGGAATATCCGAATGGGAGAAGCCATGTAGCGAACGTCCGGTGGAATTCGTTCAGGCGATGATGCTGGACGCGCTGTCCTTTCCGCTCTCCTTGGCAGGGGCCCCCGGACCAGAGAGAGCGAGCCTGTGCGAGTGGCAGATTTAGGAAGTTGTACGTTGACGTAGCAGTAGTTCTTGACACTGGCGTAGTAGTTTGGAGATTTCGGTATTTTCTGCGAATTTGGTGTCAAAAGAGGGAACGAACTCGGGGCGGACCCTGTGGATGAAAAGAACCGACCTCGCCAAGATTGCCCTCCTCCATAAGTTTAAATTGTTGACCATGGTGCTCGTGCGAAAAGACAGGAAAGAGACCCATGGTCCAGCGGGTGCAAACACAAATTTCTCAAACCTTGGTCAGCACAGATCAACATCTACAGTAATTAGGAGAATTTGTATATATATATATGTATAAGTTGACACCTGGGTCGGACTGTTGACAAGTTGATTCACTGAATCATCCCCCATGATGAGGTTATACAATCCATATGTAATATGTAGCTTTGTTAAACAGATATGCATCAACATGCTACATTGTTAAGCGAGCCTTCTTGTTGGGCTCGCTGACCAGGCCATTGTCCCACTTTTCCACGATGGTTGGAGGGATGGTAGAGGTATGGATGGGTCAAAACCCGCAACACCGAATCGGGGTTGACCTGCCAAACCTTCCAGGTCGGTAGGTCCACCGGTCGGTCCTCCTGGGCGTTTTGGACCCACAGTCGGTCTCGAGGTGTCCGTGGGGCCACTGCTCAGGCATGGCTATTGCTTCAAGAGCCTTTGGACGCTCAGCTCCAGTCCCGCGAGTTTCGATTGACGAAGCGCTTTAGATTTATCATCGCAACAAGCTCCATGGGACTGACATACTGACCTATACACTGAACCCTGAAACCATCCCAAAGTATGTATATAACTATACATAACTATACTATACACATGTGCCAGTCCATGGAGTGTCCGGTTTAGAATGGGTCATTCAACCAGGCATGAACACAAACTTGAGCAACTTGCGGCACATGAGTCACTTTTCGTTTTTTCCCAACGCTTTGATGGTTGCGGCATTTTTCAGCTAACCGGCCTCCACCCCACCACTGGCCCCACCACCACTGATCTACCGGTCCAGTGTAGTGCAACTCGGAGGAAGGGGGAGGCAAACATGCGCATGCATTTGAGTGCACATGTTCAAGTGTGGCTGGGTGAAGACGGAAATCGTACAAGTTCCCGCCAGTTGGAGCCAAGTACTGTATAGGCTCCACAGTGCAAAACAATAGAGACCATGCTGGAATACATGACTTGCATGTGTGTTTGTGTGAGGCTGGCTGTTTTCAATCCAATTCTTGGGTTGCGGAGCCGTAGATTCTTGGTAGAGTATCTTGGTAGACCACTTGCAGTGTTCTCCGAAGTGGCGGCTTCTTCAACATTCGACAGGTGTTATGGTTGAAGGCTTTGGACCTACTTGAAGGCTTGAAAGCGACGTTTAGAGTGCTTGAATCTCACTCTAACCGGGGTGAACCAGCGTTGCCACTCCTTTGGATGCTACCTGCTTTCCAGCCGCGCCAAGACCGCAAGGTCAGGATCGCCAGCGGCACGCTGCACGTGGTGGTCTTGGGTGCCACCTCCAAAGCTGAGGTCGGGATGAAGACATTTGCATACTCTGAACTAGTTAGACGGGGTCTAACTGTGCCACGGAGGGTCCCAGCAACTAGTTGAGAGTACGAATCTTCTTCATATTTCTTCATTTCTGAAAAGCCATCGCAGCCACTAAGTTCCAGGAAGTTCCTTTCTTGAGGTGCAGGAAATCCCATGCGTTCAAACGATGTTCGTGGCTGAAGCGTTTCCATTGAATGATATCGTCTTACTCTGATTCATGAGATCTTTGTGTCTGTGCAACGACTTGTGTGTCCGACGTCGAATTTGGTAGCCTGAGAAGCCATGAATTCCACCTCGCCCACATGAACATCCACGGTTTACTTGTACTATCTTGTACTCATCGTCCCGAGCAAAAATCATCGCCTACACATTTCTGCCACTCCACTGCTGATATAGCATGTCAAGTGGCATGTGTTTTTCATTTGGAGCCACTTTGTTGTTTAAAATGCATGTTGAAATCCCAAACACTCCATGGGACTGCCATATATGCCGCCTACATTGACCTCTGGCACCACCACCACCCCAATTGATCTATAGGCACATTTGGCAGTCCCATGGGTCGTGTCTGGGAGCCCCATTGACCCCCCTGGCACCACCCCAATTGATCGGCATATCTGGCATACATGGAGTGTTTGGGAATGGTGTTCCCTGGTTTGGAGATCTATTTGGATCCCCGCAAAGCCCCACGTGGATGGACTCGCCAGGTTCGCATCCTGGAGGCACCGGAGACCGAACATGTTCTCGAATGGCATCTGAATGGAGACTGCCTTGGGTGTTGGGTCATGTTAGTTCAAAAGGGATGCAATATTTTTTGATAGGTTTGTCTTTATGTTTGTGTGCAACCTATGTGTTTAAGCATTTGTAATATGATATCCCAACATATCCCAACTCACTACAGAGATCACCTTTTGAATGGCATCTTCAGAGGAAGTTGAGGCTCACTTTTAATACTTTTGCATGGATGATGTCCTTCTCGAAAGCTTTTGGAAAAGCTTTGGGAAAGCCCATCTTGTTGGTGGGTGGGTGGAAAGGAAGGTTTTCTCAAGGTGCAGTTCTTTTAATGATAATGATATTTGGTATTGCCATTGTCGTTGCAATGCGTTCATGACCCATTGGCACTGGGGTTTCCAACACTTCCTTGCGTTCCAACGATCCTTCATCGAGGCGATTACAAACTTTTGAGTGCAGACATGTAGTTTCAACATGTTTCAACAGTTCAACGCACACGGACTCCACTTCTAAATGCCCGGACACACATATAAATGTTTACATTAACACATACTAATTACCCAGAAGCTTCTTGTACCATGGCGCCCTCACCATTTTGGACCTCGCCATTTCACCACGAAGCGCCCTTTGGAACTTTGGAACTGTCCACCCGTGGGAACCACCGGACACTGCCGGCTGCCGGACACGGACACATGAGCACTCCCAAACGTTGGACGGGAGAACGCCCACCTTCGTAGGGGGGCAGCATTGATCATGCAAACACAGCCATAGAGCCGAATCCTTGTTTTCGGCTGTATGACGCAAAAGCTTTGGGTTTTTTCTTCGGCACCGCTTCCGTCGGACGCCTCAACTCGACGATGGATCAGGACTCCGACTATTGGGAGGACCCGGGGCCTGTGGGCCGGACGCATGGGCCTCGGGTGACCCGTGTCCGAGCTGATCAGTTTACTGTTTTACCCAGCTTGAAACATCTTGAAACAAATGAAACTCACTATCTACTTACAGATTGAATGCGCTTCATGGATGTTTTTGTCAGAGCTTGATTTTTTACAACAAAATTGCTGGTCTATTTTGATCGTTGGTAGTTATATACTCTTATGATTTGAGTCTAAGTCTCTTGTTCTCAGTTTTGCGTAGCACTGTGCCACTGTGCGCCCCCTGCTTCATGACTGACTTATGCGTCCACCTTTCTGCAGGCGGGGGCAAATGTGAGTAACACTTCGCCCAAAACCCAGAGGGACGGTTGTTGGACTCAACCCAGTGTGTGTGTGTGTTATTCTTGTTCAGCACCCCCTTGCTACCAAGAAACCGGGCTTTGCACCCGAATTAGAGAGCGCCGCTGCGGCTGGACATGCAGGAGCTTGGGAGGGTGATGGCGCCCCAGTGCAAGGTGAAGCTGCATTTCGTGGGACCAGAGACTTGGCACAGTCCCGGCTTCTCCCTTTTCTGGCAAGAAGAAGAAATCACGGTAAAGAGAAGAACCTGAAGAACCCTTCAAGAACAGCTGCAAGAAGAAACCTAATGGCAAAGACCTTGTCCCTGCCTAGCCTAGTCTTTCTCTTTGTCTCTCTCTCTCTCTCTCTCTCTCTCTTTGTTCCTATGAGGCTACTCTTGGTGGAGGTATATCAGCTATTTATTCAGCCCGCATCCACAGCGGCTGGACTTGCGTCACTCGGGGTGGGGACCCCAAGAACGATCCCATCACCAAGGAGATATCGGCCGAATCAGCGGATCCTTGGCAGCAGGTGAACATCCCGGACGTTCCAAAAGGATCCTGTCGAGGTGACCTTTGTGATAGATAGACCATGATAGACCCCAAAATAATCCCAAATAGATAGAGAAGCAAATTCTCACTAAGAATGTATTGGAAACCGTCGCTAATTTATTTTGGGATCACTATGGATTAATATACAGATACTGTACGTAGTCTTTGAATGTCCTTGAATGTTGGACAAAGACGTGCAATTATTTATTGAGTAGCAGGCTGCCCGACAAATCATTTGCAAATCGTTCAAGGTGGGTCATGAACAGGGCCAGAGCTTTAAGCCTTGGGTCATCTTGGGTCCATTTTATCCAGCTTAGGTTCAGGGGGGTGATAGGGGAAAGAGCCATTTCGATCACGAAACCGAACAGCTCGCGGTTTGAGTCCGGCCCTATGGCCGGCGATTCGATGTCCGGTCCGTCCGCCTGGGACCTTCGATTCGGTCCTAAGGATGTCCACCAAACACAGCAGCCTGGTGAATATGAGGGAATGCAGGGGATGAGGTTAGATGAGAAGAAGGGCTGGGCAAGAGGGATCCCGACTGGCTGCATCTGGCTGCAGAGGTAGAGATGGAGGGAACTTCGAGCCATTTTATGATGGGTCGCATTGTCACCTATAGACAGACCTATAGAGTTCATTGGACTCTGCAGGGGCGATCGAATGTCCTCTATCTAGGATCTTCATGGGAGCTATGGAAGAATGATCATTTATGAGCATCTCAGATCACGGATCCTGAATCCGTCACCCAGATGACCCTTGTCCTACTGACCCTGGAACTTCGATGGTGGTTAATATCGGGAAGCCTGTCAGGTTTCCGTATTCAAAAGGAATCCGTTCGCTTAGCAAATAGCACCAGCAGCTGGCGTGTGCTCGTCCCAGGCCACCCTGTGCCACGCAGTTCTTCCAGGCTCATTCGGATCTCAATTCCTCGATGCTTGGCGGGTGTGGCCAATGGGGTTCTTGGCTGGTGGCCGATGGGATGCTGGTGGCCATATGCTGCGGATCACTGCCCAAAAAAAACAGAAGCCACTCAATCAGCGTCGGAGTTTGACCACGCTGCCAAGCAAAGATGGCGGTTAATTTCAAGGTACGACTGACGATTGTCAGATAACCTTCTGTGTTGTCTATAATTATAGTGGAATTATAATTGGTTCAGGACAGACACAGACACGATAGAGTTCACCAAAGATAGCACTAAAAAATAAATAAATAAATAAATAAATAAACAAAAAATATATATAATATAGTTTCTTATATAATTAGTCTTCATAAGCTGTAGAGGAACTGACCAACGTGAAGCAGGTCCACATGACGAACATGACCAGGTCCACGGGTGACGAGGGGCAGTTGATGGACCTTGGTCCCATGTGTTGTTGGGGCAGTCTACGTACATTAATGCAGGGGTGGTGCCATGGCAATGAGAACTGGGTCCAAATCAAGATGGTTCTTGCTGCTTGCCGCAGGGGGTGTTCAGAAGCAGGAGGTGATAGAAGGGCACAGGTTGCGGTTGCTTCAAGAGGGTTGGTGGCGTTGGAATGCGCATTTTTGCCTAAGAAGTTAATCCCTTTCAAGGAGTCCCGCTCAAGCTTGGAAATGTTGAGGCTCCCAAAGATGGATATAGATGATGATAGATGAACGTGATCCAATTGTTTTGGAGCAGTGGCCACCAAGCTCCAGCGCACCCGGCCTCTGAGGAATACCATTTGTGCTGTGCCTTGCTTGCAGTCTTTGACCACTGCTGTGGTAGAATCCCCTGTGTGGTGTTGATGCGGAGTTCATAGTTGTCTTGGCCGGAAGGCCATACGCCGAGATTTGGATAGATTTAGGTACATTTTGGAAGCATTTTTCCGCAGAATGGGGTGGAAGCCTTCGTGGGGCAACCCCTACTCTCATAGATACCTAGGTCGTGGGCGTGTCAAATGGAACTAATAGTTGCTATATAATGGAATACTCCCCTGCAGAATAACGTGAAGCCCCCAAACTACTGGGTTGTTGTAGAGGAAAATAATCTTCCACGGGTCAATTCTCAGGTTCTATGTTAGTTTGTAAGGGAGTAACTGTATCACCAACAGATGCCCCTTTTATTCGCAGTTCTATCAAGCCTGGGTCCCCGATCCTCGTCTGCCTGGACCAGGTCTTCAACGGCGGCTTTGGTAATTTCGTGTCCTCCGGCCGTGATGAGCTCTTTCACAGCTGGCTTCAGGACACCAACACTTGAGGGAGAGTTCTGTGAGAGAAGGCTACTGAGGCTACTGGGTCTGGTCAGTCACAGGTTGTTCCCTTTGTGAGATGTCCTTCTCAGAAGTCAAGATCAGAGACAAAACTGCAAGCTCGTGGGGGCTGCAATAGCTCTCGGTTTGGACCTGATGAACACTTTTCCAACACTTATATACCTCGGTCTCTGGCAATCTCCCTCCAAATCCTCCTATCATCGATTCATTCACTCATGGCTATGGCTGAAATGGTGCAGAATATGGTATACACCACCCAGACGCAGCGGTAGAGCAAGAAAGATTTGGCGCACTTGAATTTTCTATCACGAGTCAGGACTTGACTTTCCTGGCCGACCAGTACCTTTGCTGAAGGAATGGGCATTTGGCTACCCCAACCAGGCGTTCTTGCTAGAACACGCAGATGCATCCAGCTCAAGACCTTGCATAAGCCGGGAACTGCATACTGAATACTGTTCTTTGTGCTTCGCAGAGAAAACGCGTTCATGTCCATGTGGACACCATGTGGACACCTAGCAGTTCAAGTGAAGATCCTGCTGGCAGTTGTGTTGGCCAAAGCGGAGTCACTCAAAACCTCTTATTTTTGACATAGTGTAATACTTTATGTTCAATAACGTTCAAGACTTTATGTTCATACTTTATTTATGTTTCATAGTTCTGATGATGTTCAAGACTTGTCATTGATCGCATCCTCTCAACCTCCCAAGAAACGCGTCCGGTGGGAGAAACAACATCGAGTTACAAGAGTCCGGCCCTATTATCGGTAGAAATTCAGCTTCGCACATGGATGACTTGAGACAGCGTTTGACACCACCCATCCACCGATCACCTCGTTTTTAAGGCATGTTCTGTGCGCCTTTTTTTGTGCCAATGATTATGCAGACCTCAAAGGGGAGGCGCCGGATGGTGCGGGTCGGTCATCCGGATGAGGTCACGGGATTCGAGAAAGCGAGAGTTGAGTGTTTGGCTCATGGACAAAAGACAAACAAGTGAAACTGGCTGTGGCTGACATTTTGCCCCATAGCAGTAGAAAAAAAGGCTGAAGAACACGTTGTGATTCCTTTGGGTGCTTTTGGGAGGGCCATTCGCCAGTCAGCCAGTCAGTGCCGGATCCCTATAGCTTTGGCATTTTTGATGGCATCAGGTGAGTTTCAAAGGCTTGGGCCCTTGGCGCACTTGGGGCGAGGAGCACCGTACAATCCAGAATGGCCCAGAAGTGCCGCATAAAAATATGATCCAAGAATTCTCACGGGGTGTTGTATGATTATGGTGCTTTTGAATCTAGTCCGACGTATACCAAGCCGTACTGTAAGTCACTAAGTCATTGCCGGCGTTTGATTTACTCAAGGTCCTAGTATGTCACATTTGCCAGGTGGCTGTGCATCAGCTCCTTGGGAGCTGCTTCGCTTTGCGACCTCGCTCGGGACACCCAGCTCTTGTTCAGCTTGTTGCGCGGTGCTTTGACGAATAAAGTTTGCACACATAAAAGGCAAGTGGGCCACTCTATAGACTCTATAGACCTCCCTGTTCATGTTTAGTGGTGTGCCACACGTTTTCAGAGCTGTTCAAGTTGCTGGTTCGCTGGTTTGGAGAGCAGTTTGTGCCGTGGTAGTTCTGCAATCATGTCAGGACTTACAGTTTGACATAATCCTTTCAGTGACATGCCCAGGTTGTCTCGGGTTGGGAGGGCAGCACGTGAATAAGGTCAGAACCCCTTCGCCATGGCCACAGTGTACTCGGGAGAGGCTGGGGCAGCCTGAGCTGATTCCTTTTCACGAAAGGTAGCTTGAGCTACCTGAGTTCTCCTTGCTTTAGCAAAAATGTATTACAATCAGGAGTTGGGATTGTACATTGAATTTGGTCCTGTAAGAGTTGATTCTGTTCGTCGGGGGGGGGGGGCCCCCTGGATCAAATCCCCCCTGCTCCGGTTCACACCGTCATGGACTTTTATTATCAGGGTTGCTTGTGATTGCCTGCTACCTTTCGTTCAACCCCTCCTCTCTCAAGTTTTTCCTGACTGATTGTCCAGGGGCAGTTGGAGGAAGATTCTTTTAATGTCCCTTGCTTTTGGACATCGTCTTCGTCCCGGCGTTCCATATGTTGTTTTCTTGCTTTTGGACCTAAATTCCATCTCCATTCAATTCGTACAAGGCAGGTGTGTCCTTTCTTATTGTAGGAAACTGGTTATTAGGCGCAAGAAGCTACTATAGGAGCAAAGGGCATCGCTACTAGGAGCAAGAACGCTACTAGGGGCTCCTGGCCGTACTGCTAGGAGCAAGAAGCTACTAGGAGCAAAGGGCATCGCTACTAGGAGCAAGAACGCTACTAGGGGCTCCTGGCCGTACTAGGAGCAAGAAGCTACTAGGAGCACAGGGCATCGCTACTAGGAGCAGAGCAAGAACGCTACTAGGGGCTCCTGGCCGTACTAGGCGCAAGAAG